TGTATTTCCTCAGCGACCAGCATGGATCAGCTCTAGGCATGACGAAGCGGATATCGTCCTCTTTTGGAAGACCAAACAAAGTAGTTTCGCTTTCACAACGAATCACACAGCGCCTTCACGACATGGCGGCAGCAACAACACTACAGCAAGAATAAAAGTTACGCCGCCTTTCTTTGCATGAACATTTGGGCAGCGTTATGCAAATCTTCCCACATAGCGACGTAGATATGTGGGGGCGTGTTAGAACGAGCCGTTTTAGGTAGGTGTGGCTGACTCTTAACTTTTATAAAGAATATCTCTTTGGATTTGAGACTTTAGTCTTTGCAATTTTACAGATCTTCTTTATGCACCAAGAGCTTGTAACACTCCAAAGAGAAAGGAAAAATTGAAATCGCATCATATGACCCCTTTAAGTAAAAAAGTACTGATAGATAGATTTAGGAGTAACGATATGTTTTATGAAATGTAGTGAAGTAAAAAGTACGATCTTATGCTTTGGAATGTAGTGAAGTAAAAGTAAAAGTTACTCAAAATAAAACTACTCCAGTAAAGTACAGATACTTGAAAAATGTACTTAAGTACAGTAAAGAAGTAAAACTACTCCGTTACTGTCCACCACTGCAGCAAAGGAGATGCTGGTCAAAAACTAGTACGGGAAGAGATACGAAAAGCCTATGTTTGGGCTGCGCCACATGCCAAGAAGGCACCACGAGAAACATCTGGGGCCCTGCACAGAGTAAAGCAGACTGAAACATCATGACTAGCCTGACACTCACAGATACTATAGAACAGTGTTGACAGTACAAAGGAGGAAATTGAAGATGTGCGTGGAACATTAAGTGAGGACCTAACAGAGACAGACATTCGTAAAAAAGACAGTACTGCTGTTCAGTCACATCCCGTCTGCAGTCTGTACCATACCAATACATGCTCTCTCTGTTAAGCAAATGGTAAATATAAACACTAAAGTCTGTAATTGCACCTGAAATCTTTATGGGAAATAAATACAATTTGTACATACGTGTGATGCTTGTAAACAGCATGCACCTGCCCAAACCAGACTTTTGGATTATGGTGTCTTCATAAAATTAACCTCCCTTTTCATGCAGCTAATAAAATCACAAAACAGCACTGAACTCATACAAGACAGAACGTATGGATCCGCTCTGGAGACAGCATATGAACAAATAAAAATAACCATAAAGTCCATTAAAACAAAACTCAGGATCCTTTTGTTGTGCCGCAGGGGTTTTGTGCTAGGGCTCTCATGTTTTTTGGCATCAATGCAGGAATTTGATGGGACAGTCCTTAGTCTGTAGTGAGAAAAAGAGAGAGATAGGATTAACCCATGAACCAAGTGAAGGTAAGATACCATCACTCCCCTACAATTAATCTTATCACTCAGTGTATTGATTCAGTCACATGCCATATACAGAGGTTATAAAAGGTTGGCTCACCCAAAAATGAAAATTGTGAAAAGAATCGGTTGGTGCGATTTGCGAACCGATTTAAAAGGTTCATTGAAAAGAATCAGTTCGTTCTTGAATCAGACGCCGCTTCTGCGTCTCGGAGCACGTGATAGCCTATATTATAAGGAGTAACGATTTGTTTTATGAAATGTAGTGAAGTAAAAAGTACGATCTTATGCTTTGGAATGTAGTGAAGTAAAAGTAAAAGTTACTCAAAATAAAACTACTCCAGTAAAGTACAGATACTTGAAAAATGTACTTAAGTACAGTAAAGAAGTAAAACTACTCCGTTACTGTCCACCACTGCAGCAAAGGAGATGCTGGTCAAAAACTAGTACGGGAAGAGATACGAAAAGCCTATGTTTGGGCTGCGCCACATGCCAAGAAGGCACCACGAGAAACATCTGGGGCCCTGCACAGAGTAAAGCAGACTGAAACATCATGACTAGCCTGACACTCACAGATACTATAGAACAGTGTTGACAGTACAAAGGAGGAAATTGAAGATGTGCGTGGAACATTAAGTGAGGACCTAACAGAGATAGACATTCGTAAAAAAGACAGTACTGCTGTTCAGTCACATCCCGTCTGCAGTCTGTACCATACCAATACATGCTCTCTCTGTTAAGCAAATGGTAAATATAAACACTAAAGTCTGTAATTGCACCTGAAATCTTTATGGGAAATAAATACAATTTGTACATACGTGTGATGCTTGTAAACAGCATGCACCTGCCCAAACCAGACTTTTGGATTATGGTGTCTTCATAAAATTAACCTCCCTTTTCATGCAGCTAATAAAATCACAAAACAGCACTGAACTCATACAAGACAGAACGTATGGATCCGCTCTGGAGACAGCATATGAACAAATAAAAATAACCATAAAGTCCATTAAAACAAAACTCAGGATCCTTTTGTTGTGCCGCAGGGGTTTTGTGCTAGGGCTCTCATGTTTTTTGGCATCAATGCAGGAATTTGATGGGACAGTCCTTAGTCTGTAGTGAGAAAAAGAGAGAGATAGGATTAACCCATGAACCAAGTGAAGGTAAGATACCATCACTCCCCTACAATTAATCTTATCACTCAGTGTATTGATTCAGTCACATGCCATATACAGAGGTTATAAAAGGTTGGCTCACCCAAAAATGAAAATTGTGAAAATCACTTACTCACTCTCATGTCATTCCAAACCCATAAGACATTTGCTCATTTTGAAAACACAAATGAGGATACTATTAATGAAACCTGAGAGATTTCACTGAAAGTTCATTCCAGTATTGGGGTTTGCTCTTGCACATCAAGGAAGTACGTTTTGAGTTTCCATTTACCATATTTGATGTGCTCTAGGTTTGTGCACTGATCAATGTTTATATGTGAATACAAGCCTAAATTAAATCTGTTCATCATATAAAGTCATTGTGTCTTTTCAGAAGACTCGAATTAAACTGCTCAAAGCATATGGATTTCTTTTATGAAGTTCTGGTAGAATGGACTTCAAATGGAAGGACAGAAAATGCTTTGATTTCATTAAAAATATCTTCCTTTAGTGTTCAAAGATGAATGAACATCTTATAGGTTTGTTTGTGAGTAAATTAAGACAAAGCAGGGTGTTTTTTTTAAAGGAGACATATTATGCCCCTTTTTACAATATGTAATATAAGTCTCTGGTGTCCCCAGAATGTGTCTGTGAAGTTTCAGCTCAAAATACTCCACAGATCATTTATTATATCATTTTGAAAATGCCTATTTTGAGTGGAAGCAGAAACACGCTGTTTTTCGGGCCTGTCTCTTCAAATGCAAATGAGCTGCTGCTTCCCGCCCCCTTTTCCAGAATAGAACTGTGCCATTACAGCTCAAACTAGTGATGGGAAGTTCGGATCATTTTACCGACTCGGACCTTTGAGTCTCGTTCAGCAAAATAAACGAATCTTTTTTCGAGTCATTTCGTTCATTTTAGCAAAATATAATTAAAATGTTACGTGTTACTTCCCTAACACGTCTACTACTTACGCAAACGTTGATCACACTACAAACAATACAAAACTGCTATAAGAAACAGAGAAGATTAATTAATTGTTTACCTGGGTCTTCAGTCTATGATTAGCTCACCTCACCTCTTATCTGACAAGTCTTCGGGTTTGAGACGTTCGTTCATCACGTGACAGCCCCATAAGTTTAACCAATGCAGTCTGAGCCGGAAAGAGAATTGATTAGTTCATCTCTCGAGTCTTCGGGTTTGAGTCGTTCATTCATCACGTGACAGCC